AATCTTTTTTAAAAAGAGAAATTGGGGGTAGAGGGTGGTACCTGAGAATTCCTCATCAAAGCTTGGAATTCCTGTAATCCCAACACTGGGTAAATGGAAGTAGGGTCAGGACAAGGTCATGCCTCAGTCTCCTGAGAACAAAGCTCAAAGACATTTATACTTTCTTAATATGTATACAATGTAGAGTTTCTTGGTTTTTCTAAAGCTATATTTCTGTTTTTTATTGAAGGAGTTTCTTAACCTCCAGGATGAAAATCAGCAGTTGAAAAAAATTTATCACGAACAAGAACAGGCTCTGCAAGAACTCGGCAGCAAACTTTGCGAGTAATTCCTCTCTTCCTTCAGCCTACAGATTCGTGGAAGAGATGGGTGTACCAAATCAGCTCTGCAGAGGGTCTTGAATATTGGGACACCAAAGACTAGCTTCTTTAGAGTAGTTCTGGGCATTTTAGCAGAATGGTTTTGAAGGGTTTCATCAAGTGAAGGCCAATTTCTTTAGTGATAAAGAATCCAGAAGCTTAAATTTTGTCAGAACATAAGTTGAATTTTGACAATGTCCAGCGCTACCAGACTATTTTGAGACACTATAGGAAGCCAGGAAAGTGGCTGTAATCTCAGCATTTGGGAGGTAGAAGCAGGAAGATCAGGAATTCAAGCTCATCCTCAGCAACTTAGAAAGGGGCAAGCCTTGAGATCATCCTTTAAAAAACAAAGAAATAGGGGCTGGAGACTTGGCTCAGTGGTTAAGCATACTTGCTGCTCTTGCAGAGGACCCAGGTTAAGTTCTCAGCACCCACCCAGTAGCTCACAACCATCTCTAACTCCAGTTAGAGATCCATCCTGTCTCCAGGGGATCTGATGCCTGTTTCTGACCTTTGGTCACCAGGCATGCACATGGTACACAAACATACATGCAAGCTACATTTCACATACATAGTTTTTTAAAAAGAAATAAATGGAAGAGGGGGATATCTGAGAATACCATCATTTCAATTTTTATTTTAGGATTGTGTTCCTTTCCCTTTCTTGTTCTGAGAAAGACTACTGCTTTATTGTCTAGGCTAGTGTTGAGTTCCTGGATTAAAGTGATTCAGTCTCCCAAAGAGCTGGATTGTACGCCACTATAACCAGCCACTTCAAATGTAATAAACAGTTTCTCTGGTGAGAAAATTAAAACATGTTTATAGTTCAACAGCAGGTAAAAATTGCATACCATGTAACCATTTAGTGTGATGTGACAGATACTTAGTAACAACTAGCAGGCGTCACTCTTCAGGATCCAGCACTGAGCGGACCAGATTATGGAGAATTATGCAGATGATCCTCCATTGAAAGTGCTTAGTCAGTGTAGTAGCTCTTCTCCAATCCAGACTGGAGACCAGTCTGCTACACGTCTCAAAAGGCAAAAAAGGAAGGTGAAACAGGATTGCCACAAAATTTGGCCAGCCAGGACTACCGAATTTAAATCCTGTTTCAAAACAAAGTAACACATTCATGCAAGTGTTTATTTTTTGAGACAAGGTTTCAAGTATCCCAGGCTGTCGTAGAACTCATGTAGCCAAAACATGACCTTAAGCTTCTGCTGTGTAACTTCCAAAGTGCTAGTTTATATGGCACTGGGATCTAACCCATGGCTTTGTGCATGCATATCCAGAGACATTTTCTCTTATACAGTCAAGCTTTTCAAAAATCTAGTTGTGGCACAGGCCTTTAATCCCAGCACTCGGGAGGGAGAGGTAGGTGGATCTCTGAGTTTGAGGCTAGCCAGGGCTACCCAGAAACCCTGTCTTGGAAAAAAGGAAAAATACATAATATCCCCTTAGCCAGAGATTGTTAGGTCTAAAATTATATACAATTAAAAAATCAATACCTTTGCAATGAACTATTAAGTGTTTTTACATGCATACTAAAATTTGGACTTGTTTGTAATGTTTTTAGATCCAAACTTAAAATAGATGACATAAAAGAAGCCAACAAAGCATTACAGGTGAGTAAAAAGGCTTTCAGTACAACTGGAAGCTCTTAACATTGGTAAATGTAAATTGTTTAGAGCCTGGTGTGTTGAGGAAGCCTTGAGAAGGAAGCATACAAATCCCAGGGGCAGAGGTGGCAGCACTGGTAGGTGTGCTATTCTAGCCTCCACTTTTTTTCTTTCTAGGGTTCTACAGTCCTTTGTAGACTAGGCTGGCCTTGAACTCAGATCTGCCAGCTTCTGCCTCCTGGGCATGAGCTGGAGACTACCAGCTCCACACTTAGTGAAATTTTTTAAAAGGTGGAAATAGGTGGAAATGGATTACTTATTACCTGCTAAAGAATGCATCATCTTGATGAAAAATGACGTTGTAATGCTACTTTAGTAGATAACATATCTTTGATGACCTCCTAGGATCGGCTTCTGATCACTTTGATAAGGCTAGAATGTGTGTTACTTTGGTGTGTGTGTTGGAAGGAATCCTTGGGTCAGCACTTCAGTGTCATTGAATAGCTTTCTGTTCCAAATTACCATTTAATCTTTTAATCAAAATGTTACATGAAAATAGCTATTCAAAAAGTCCTAAAACTTATGTTATGTAATTGATGTAATGCCAGCCAGAACTCTGAACCAGTTAAAAAAAAAAAAAAAAAGAGAGAGAGACTAGAAGGTGTTAGATGTCTTGGAACTGGGGTTACAGAAGATTGTGAGCCATGCAGATGCTGGGAATTGAACTTGGGGCCTCTGGACAAGCAGCAGCATTTTGCCCCACGCACCATTCTAAAAAAGATTTCAAGGAAACAATGTTTGCTATCTTGCCTTTAACTCACCTTAGTTATTTGCTCCTGCTCCCAAAGGGAGCTTCTTCCAGTTCTCGCAGCTATCTCCTCTAGCATCTAGCTCTGTATTCAGAGCAATGCAATTCATTCCGCTTCCCCCTTTTTATAGTATGGGAAATGGAACTGAAAGGGCCTAGCACAGGCTAGACAAACACTGTACTGTACTTCCGAGCCATGCTGTAGCATGTTTTCTCACCTTGCTACTGAAGTGGTGGTAGCCTTTTGCTCAAATTCATCTTTCCTTAAGTCACCTCAGTAAGCTTTTTTTCCTAGACAGGATTTCACTTTAACCCTGGCTGGTCTCAAACACAGGGGTTGTCCTGCTTCTTGAGCACTGGAATTAAAAGTTCATAAGTATATATCTTGGGTTTTGTTTTTTTCTATGTGTGGTTTTATTTTATTTTTGAGACAGGGTTTCTCTAAAGCTTTTGGAGCCTGTCATGGAACTCATATAGAATGAGGCTGATCTCAAACTCAGAGGTCTGCCTGTCTCTGTCTCCTGAGTGTTGGGATTAAAGACAAGTGCCACCACCACTCAGCTCATCACACCTTTCTTATTTTCCAATGTTTTATCTCAACACCAGAATATTCTCATTCTTCATCTCTATCAAATGTTCCCTGAAGAAGTTGGGTGGCTCATTACTTTGTCTTAGAAGTCTGCCCCCCCCCCCCCCCCCCAATCTGACCTGGGCCCTTCTGTACTGATATTTCTAAGTTCCTTTGACCTCTCTGAGAGCTACTGCCTGAGCCTGATGCACTTTTTGGGTTCCTGTTCTGAAAAATGATGGGTCATAGGGATTCTGCATTTTCAGTTTTCGTGCTTTTAAGCTAAGTGCAAGTGTTGCTCGTTAGAACACTAACATTCATCTTTACCTGTTAGGGACTGGTCTGGCTGAAAGACAAAGAGGCAACACACTGCAAGCTTTGTGAGAAGGAATTTTCACTCTCCAAAAGAAAGGTAGGAGGTGAGAAAGTGAGCTCAAACATTTTGGCAACAAAAATGGCTTCTAACTGCCCCCCCCCTTTCCTAATTTTTCCATTAATAGCACCACTGTAGAAACTGTGGGGAAATTTTCTGCAATGCCTGCTCTGACAACGAGCTGCCTTTGCCTTCTTCACCAAAGCCAGTGAGAGTCTGTGATTCCTGCCACGCAATACTCATTCAGAGATGCTCCTCTAACGTGCCATGACCCGGGAACTCAGTCCTCCTGCACAGAAGCACCTGCAGTGAGTGTGAGGACCAAGTGTCCAGTCAGCACCGTACCTCTCCTCCAGCTAACACACAGAATTCTAAGTTGTATAGTTAGGATTCCGTTTCTGCACTTACTCGGATTTTAAGATAGCATGTTTTATCACTACTTGGAACAGTCATGTAACCCTTAAGGAAAGGCTGGACAGCAGAGCTAAAGATGCACTTTTGCCTTATCTTCTAGAGGCCTTCTTGAGAATGAGGCCACAACTTGTTTCTGAACTGTCGAGCTGGCACTTGATGGTGCCTGTAATTCTCTTTAATGCACTTTAATGCTTCACAATTCTCAGAGGAAGACTGGAAATTCCCTCACTTTGTGACACTATGCTAATTGAACATCCTTTTTTGAAATAAGATTGAAACAAAGTTGTCCATTTTTGACCATGGACTTCCTTGCCTCAGCTATGAAGTGCTGGGATCATAGGTGTGTGCCTCCATACCAGGCTGCACAGTCTTCATTGTCTGGTAAGATTCTAATTTAATTGTATTTATTTGCGTGTTCTTTTCCCCTCTTCTACAATGGTCAGTAATTTTATCTCATACCTTTCTTTCCACTTGCCTACACCTTTCATATAGTGGACTGAAGTGCCAGCTTTCCCTTCTGTTCTTTAAGGGTGTTAATATAACCATCATAAATATAACCTTGTCACAGAAGCTCCTTTTTGTAAAGGGGTGGCCCCCAAAGACGAAAACATCCTTCCTGAGGGATGATGGGAAAACACGGGCTTTTTAAAGATTCTCTAAGTATTAAAAATAAGAGCATTTAAAACTTACCTATGCCATAATAGAATTAGTTTCCCCATCCTCCAGTTCTCTTAGGAAACATTATATTGCAATGTTTGCATCTACCCACAGTAGAATTTTACCCGATATATCAAGTACCTTTATGCTATGGTCTTAGGCAGATAGTGGTTTCTTATTTTTTTCAAGCAGAAAAACAAAACATTAAGTTACTTAAACCATGACCATTCAGGATCTTAATATATTAATCTCCAGTTTTGCACTTTTAAATCTATAAACTCTATAGAGATTTTACATTCCTAAAGACAGTTTAGTGACTGGGCACTTTTCTGATTCCTTATTCTTTGAGATCTTTTCATTTGTTGTATTTCAGTAAGTTTTATAATTTGCCAAAATTACAAAACCAGTATTTTCACCAGCTTCTGAGGTTAACTTAAATTAGATCTGTCAGATTTTGAGATGTCCCATTTTTTTGGAAACAGGGATTCATGTAACCCAAGTTGGCTTCTAACTTGGTGTGTAGCAGAGGGTGACCTTGAACTGATTCTCCGACCTCCCCATATCCCAACTCCTGAGATTACAACTATGTGGTGCTGAGGATGGAACCCCTGGCTTTGTGCAGGCCAGGTAGTACCAACTGATCTACCCAGCCCCCAAGACGTCATTTGTTGAGCACTGACAGAAGTGGCCTTGAAACAGAATTAAGCAAGAAAGAATGCTACAAATTCAAGGCCAGTCTCCAAATTAGCCTATGCTATGTATATATTTATACATACAATAATGAAAACTTGGCCCAAATATTAGAAAATTATATTCTTGAACCATTTTTGTTGTTGTTTTGTTTGTATTTTGAGACAGGGTTTCTCTGTAGCTTTGGAGCCTGTCCTGGAACTACCTCTATAGACTAGGCTGGCCCTGAACTCAGACATCCACCTGTCTCTGGGATTAAAGGTGTGTACTACCACTGCCTGGCTTCTGAACCATTTTGTATTGATGGGAATAGACTAAGATTTTTATGACTGTTGGAAGTGAGCATAAATGAAAAAATTTCAAATACTTTATTTTGTGCTTTTTGTTATAAACATGGACCTTTTCTGGGGCAGCATTAACTTGACCCCCAATGTCTGAGATGAGAATATAGCTCAGTGGCAAAATGTTCGCTTACTGTGTGTATTAAAGCCCTGGGTTCTCAATCCACAGCACCACTAACAAAAAAATAAAATCTAAATTTAGGACACCTCATTCATCACAAAACATTCTGTTTTTATTTTGCAAAAACTTGTCATTTCCTTGCTTTCCCTAGCCAGTACTACCACAAAGATGTAATCATGGTGCCAAGGAATTGTAATTCTAATCTGTAATGTTTTTAAAATAAATGTGAATTTTATAAAACAGTTTTAAGAAATTAACAATTTTTATTGCTTTAAAGATTTGTTTATCTGTTTATGTGTGTCTGTGTGAGTGTATGCCACAAGTGTGCAGGTGGTGAAGGAGGCCAGAAAAAGGTATTGGATTCACTGCAGCGACATGAGTTGTGATCTGCCTGATGTGGGTGCTGGGAACCAACCTCAGGTCCTCTGGATGAGCAGAAAGTACTCTTAACCACTGAATCGTCTCTCCGACCACCTCCATTGAGACTGAAGAAGGTAACCCTTGAAGGGCTTCTGACCTCTCTGCCAGGCATGCAGACAAGGTCATTAGTGTGTAGGCTCTAGGTGAAATCCTCAGTCCCAAAACAGAAAGACAGAAACTTACTTTTTCAGAACTATAGGCTCCGAGTAACAAACTGTGGTGCTCCTTTACAGTCATTTTATCAGAAATCTCAATTTGGCATCCAAATTACATGCTATCCAAATACTTGCCTCTACCTGCCAAGTGCTGGGATTAAAAGCATGTGCCACCACACTTTCCACCAATGTGCATTATAACCAATAACTGACACAAAGCATTCTAGAACAGACAACATTCCTTTATCTCCCATGTTGACATTTATTAAATGAATAACATTTCTAGCAAAAAACAAGTAACAAGTTCAATAACTGAGTTCACATTGACAGGTTTCAATCTGATCCATTAGCCAATTTAGGGGAAAGCCACATTGATCAAAGTGATAAGATTAGAAAGCACCCTTCCCTTGCTAAACAGAGCTTAAATACTCAAAACCAGTATCAGATGCAAAATCCAGCTGTAGCATTGTTTTACATTTTCCTAAATGCAGTCATTTACAATTTAAAAACCCTGTTTTCTTGTGTTTTCAGTTTCTTACCCAAGAATACATCTATCATAGTAAATACCCATGTATTTACACCGAGTTCATCAATGAGAATTCTTAGTTACTCCAACAAACTCAAATTTTGGAAACATTTTTGGTATCTTGGGCAAGTGCTATGAGGATTTTAAAATCTAGGGCTATAATTTCAACCACTACTCCCATGTCCCTGGGTTCATAATTAATTCATAACACAATTTTGACTACTTAGAATCCAGATACCTCTCTTACAAAATTATTCAGAGCTATGCTTGATAAATGAGATTGAAAAGAGAATGCAGAATTAACTGAACTTATATTCCTGAAGCCACTTGAATGCATCTTTAGGCTTTTTATTTACAGGGTGTCCAGGAAAGAAAGCTAGCTAACTACTCAAGCTCTATCCATCCCAGATGTGTGCTAAGACTTGCAGTCTGTCCACTCACATTGCACTATGCTACTTTTTGTAGAGCTAACAGTAAAATACATCATCCCAAATCTTATGAAGGCAACACATCTTTAGGAGTACCTATATATAAAAAGTAGCAACATCAGTGGTTTCAATATAAAAATTTATTAAGTCAAAGTATGCAACAAATAAAACCTACAGAAAACAGATTTTCCCATCACAATCTGTTGCTTTACCAAGTATCTTGAAAACACATTCCTTCAGTCATTATAAAGTTCTTGAAATACAAAAGAAATTAAATCCGTAAGAAAGTCTAGTAGACATGTTGTTGTTAGGACTTGTACGTTGGTGTTTTCAGTACATCCCACGCCATCCACCTCCACTCATTCCACCTTGCCCATAGTAACCTCCACCGCCTCCACCACCACGACCTTAAGAAGACATTTAAGAACTACCTGTCAGGAGATGTCCATGCACATCACCATATTTATATTTTAAATGAAAGACATTGCCAATACAAAACCTGACTTACCATAACCTCCCAAGCCATCAGGAGTGCCATATCCTCCACTGTAGTTGTTCCCCATTCCCATTCTCCCAACAGATCCATATCCTCCTTGATTATCTGCACATTAAAAAAAAAAAGGATGGTTTCCAAAGTAACCAATACTGCTTATTCTAAAAAGTTTATAAACTCAGGTTTGGGAAGGGTATGCCAAAGCACCAAGGCAGGAAGATTGTGCCTGGGCTACAGAGCAGGATGAACCCATCTCAAATACAAAAGTATACATACCCATTCCATCTCTGCCATAGCCTCCCATTCCAGAACCTCCCATTCCAGAGCCACCTCCAGGGGTGGAATTCAAGAAGAGTTCAATGTATCGATGCTCTTTAAAAAAGAGGAGTGGAAAAAGGTAAGAATAGTAGAGAAGGGAATATTGGAGCAAATATTAATTAAAGGTCAATTAGTATTTAAAAAGCAGGCTGATCCACACATAAAGGACTATTTTAGGCATCCATTAAAATCTAGACATTATTACTAGGTCAAATGATAAAGTCCTAAGATCTACCACAGGCATTTTAACAGGTAATTATTTTATAAACTGCACACATCTATAAAACAGAAGCATCCCAAAGACACCACTTACGCATGTTGTTTTTATCTTTAGACATGGCAGCCACGGCATCTTCATGTGTCACAAACTCTACATCTGCCTCTCCTGTTGCTCTGCCATCAGCTCCAATGTCGATATGAACTCGTATTGGATTGAGTGGTGAGAAGAACTAAATAAAAGTTACTCAATTTTAAATTTCAATTATTTAAAATTAGGCACATAATTTTTTTCCTAATCCACTAAAATAAACTATTGAGAGTCTATAGGGCTCCAGCATTGTGGAGGTAGGGTGTCATCCTTTACTACAAAGGTGGTCAATTTGGCTCACATGGAGAAGGACTATATTTTATTTTATTTTTTCTTCTTCAAGACAGGGTTTCTCTATGTAGCTTTGGTGACTGTCCTGGAACTGGCTCTTATAGACCAGGCTGGCCTCAAACTCAGGGAGCTTTTAAAGTAAGGCAATACTAAATTTTAAACAAAAAAATTTGAAACTGGCTCCATGTGCAAGGTTAGGAGTATCTTGAAGTTTGGGGTTGTTCCAGACCCTATTGCTAAAGGCAAATTCCTATCCGATTGACTATCCTTAACTGAGTTTTTTTTTTAATGCATTTTTTAAACCTGCTTAAAATCTCACATAGGTCAGTATATAAGGGACACAAACACCTATGTACATATTAAGTAAATAATCTATCACTAAGTGACAATGCTAGCTTGAATCTTAACAAATAGAATAGATAAGGCATGGTGTCTGCCTGTCATTCCAACATGCTCAAAGCCAAGTTAGGATTTCTAAATTCTAATCCAGTTTGGGCTACAATGAGACCTCCCCGCCAAGAATAATTAAAAATACCCACTATGAACCACACTTACATTAGCAATATCATTTTCGGTCGCACGAAAAGGCAGCCCTCTCATGTGCACAAAATGACCACCATGGAAACCTGAACTTGCATCACCAGCTCCACCGTAGCCATGTCCTCCCATGCCTATATTATAAACCGTCATGGGTTCAGGTAAGTATATACATATAAATCTACAAGCCAGTGCAATGACACAAGTTTCCATTAGCTTATTAAAGTTGCCTAACTACTAAGAGTTGCCTAATTACTACTGGAAGCTTACTAAGGAAACAATAAAATTTACTTCAGCATGACAATACCTCTTCCATCTCTCATCCTGTCATCAAAGCCATCATTTCCATAGCCATAATTATTATAGCCACCATAGTCATCAAAACCTCCATAGCCTGTGCAAATAAAAGGAAAAAGAAATACCATCCTGAGTAATTTATCTTGTAAGGTAATTTACAAAGTCATTTTGTAGTCAACTGTTTTAGCTCCTTCATTGATGTTTGCAGCTTACTGCACGTGAGGAAAGTAGTTAACCCTTGATGGAAATGAAAATAACCACAGGATAAATTCAAACATAACATGAAAACCAAATTTCATCTTTATGCCAAGAAGATGCCAGTTATCTTTACTTTCATTTCTACATTACATTTTCTAGGTGTTAATGTGCATCAATCAAGTTCCACAGTGTAAATCCCATAATCTCATGAACAGGTTTTAAAACCTCGTAGGTACTGAAATTACTGCCATTTCTGTATTTCTTGACAAAGTGTCAGGAACATCAAGAAAATGACAACAGAACCTTTGTTCATTAGATACACATACCACCATCATATCCATCACCTCCTCGTCGCATTCTGTCATACATACTTCCACGCCCAGCTCCATAATAACCCCCTCTTCCTCCTATTGGTCTATCATATGGTCCCGGTCGCTGTCCCAGCAATCTTCTTGGTGGATCATAAAATCCTTTGATTTCACTCCTGCTACTCCTGAAGATCTCAATGTACCTATTTTAAAAGGGTTAAAGTATATGTTTCAGCATGGATATATTAGAGAGAAATTAGATACTGGGCAAAATGCAGTTTGTCTATATCTAGGTACATAACCCAATTTAATTTGCCTAAATAAGCCATAAGGTAACATTTTTACACCTATAAACTTAATTAAATATTTAAGTTTTACATAGACAAATGAGTCATTTGAAAACACTGAATTATGAATATATTTTTAGTTTCCTTTAGTACAAGATAGATATGTAAGAAAAACAGGTGATTATACAAAAACAAATTTAACAACACCCTACAAAGAAATGGAAACATAATCTAATTTTAATTTAAACTATTAGCATTAATTCCCCACCCAAATCTGTAGTTTCCATGTTAAATTTAGGTAATTATCAATTCTTTAAAACTACCCCCAGAAAATGTTATGGTTACCCCCCCATTTAAGCAATAGTGACCCACAACCCCCAAAAATAAAAATTTAACACCATCCCAAACTCTCCATCCCCACCTGTGCCCTATTCTTTCCTTGTGTTTCCCCAGAGCATTTTCTGCTATCTCCTTTGAAGCAAACTGCACGAAGGCCTCCCCTGTGCTTCTCCCCTGGTAGTCCATCGTCAATGTTATCCCATTTGGCACGATTTCCAACCCTTTAACCCAAGGACAAATACCCCATCAAGGGGAACAGTGTTAAAGGCTGAAACATTCCCATCTGAATCAAATATTTAAAACAAGTCAAAACAAAACAAAACGCGTAGTTTCCCATCACCCCATAATACAAATGGAATATTTTTCAAGTATCATTGGATTAAATATTTTCTGTGACCAGCGTCTTAAAATTATACTTCTAAAAGCCCACTACATGGAAAAAGTACATATTTAACTGTGCTCCCAATGATAACTCATAGCCCATGTCACCATAGTTATTCTCAGTTAACTATACTGTACATCAATCAATGTTTACATAGCCTATACATTCTCTATGGAATATTAACTGGAGCACATTTTATTAAATAACCCAGATTACCACAAAATTTAGTTCCAAAATCAAACGGGTTTTATAAATTAAAAACCATCTAATAAAAAACACATACAGTTAAAATACTACTAAACTTTGACTAGTACTAGAGGTACCTTGAAAGAACTGAACTATTTCCTCTTTGCTGCAACCAAATGGCAGTCCTCGAAGTCGCACTGTCCCATCACTAGCGTCATTTGGACCATTATGTTTCATAACCCAATCCATTTCAATATCGCTTGATTTAAATGCTATGAAAATAAACAAGCACATAAAGCAGTCAATCACAACACCCTCTTACCAAGATTTGAATACCTCTCAAGTGTCACAGTGAGGAATGCATGCACACAATTCCTACAACAATCAGCAACAGAGTACTCTATTATAAAAACTCTACTTTGGGGTGGGGCAGGGAAAGGTAATGAAACTCACCCCTCACCTACCAAACAACCCTGAACCACCAGAGTAAAATTTGTTATAACACCTTTTCCACAGTCCACTCACTTTTTTTTTTTACTTTTCAGGCTTCAATATTGACCCAAAGCTACCAGATTTTTTTGTTTTGTTTTGCAGACAGGGTGTCAGTGTACCAATAGCTATGAGTGCTAAGATTACCTGAGTCACCAGCCCAACTGCAAAATGTTTAAAAATAATCACATAAAGTGTATATAATATAGTCATCTATTCATATTGAGATTTGAGCATTAAAAAAAAAATAGTAGCTAGGTGGACCTCAAGGTCATCTTTGACTACACCAGCAATTGGAGGGCACTACAAGACCCTGTCTCAAAAACAAAAGAAAACAAGGAAAACACTACTGAAACCCAAATGCTATGTGGAATATGATAGATGGTACATGCCCAAGATCTCAGTACTCGGGAGTTAAGGCAAGATTTTGAGTTTGAGACCAGCTGGGACTATAAGAAAACTGCTTCAACAAACACTCAGATGAGTACCTTTCAACATCTTTTTCGGGGGTGGGGGGGTGGGGGGTGGGGTTTAAGACAGGATGACCAAGAACCAGTCTGGTTTTGAATCGCAGATGCCTGCCTGCCTCTCAGCCCCAGTGCTGGAACTAAAGGGAAGTGTCACCACTCCATGTCATGCTCATCCTCTTACCATTTTTAGTTAAGCAGATTTACTTACAGGGCACTCACATGGCACTTAAAAAGCACAGCATGAAGCCCCTTCCATCCCCCAAGACACACAAAACTTCCCTAGAGGCAGTCACTTTCCTTGTAAAATTCCAGAATACTTTAGAGACTAATGCAGAAGTTCCACAGCTGTGGAAAAACTTACCAGTCCTTGCTTATTTCACTACACAGCTGCAGGAATCCTACTCACCTCAATATTCCAATCTTTCCCTCACCACCTCCTCCCGTCAACAAAACAATTTTTTTCACTTGATTCCTTTAGGCTGGATGGTATATCAACACCATTCACTAATGGTTAATTCCATATCATCTGTTAGAGGCAGCATCTACAGAGTTAACAATTCTAATTTTTTTTAAAATCACATGGCAACACACTTACTCCTACAACCCTAGCCCTGGGAGGCTGAGGCAAGAAGTTCAGGAATTCAAGGCCATACTCTGTCTTTGAAGAAGGAAGGAAAGGGGGGGGGGGGGCAGGGATATGGAATGGAGTGGTGGTTGAGGGGTGGAAAAGGTAGGCAGATCTATGAATTTGAACTCAGCTTGGTCTACACAGTGAGTTCCAGGACAGTCAGGGCTACATTGTGAGACCCTGTCTCGGAGGGAAAAACACAAAACAAAAAGGTATTTTAGAACTTGGCATAGTGGCACACTTTGGAGGCAGAGGTGGTGGGTATGTAAGTTCAAGGTTCAAGGTCAGCCTGATCTACGGGACAGCCTGGGCTACACAGAAAAACTGTCACCAAAAACCGGGCTGGGGGTGTAAATTTCTAAAATTCATGCATCAATGAACCCAAGGATATAGTTCAATGAGAGAGTAAATGTCTATCATGTGTCAACCTTTGGATTACATTCTAAACACCCTTCCCCCAATAATACATGTATTAAAGACAATGTTTAATTTCTATTCCAGTGGTTATTAATGTGTATATCATCAGCATTTGTTTTGTGTGTACTAGTGACTGAACCTCAAACCCCGCTGAAAGAAAATCCAGGCCCATCTTTAAAGCAAAGCCCGTGGAAGGTGCCACTCTTGACAGAACCAAAATGGTGAAAACACAATTTAAAAATTGACATTATAAGTAATTCTTCAGTGCACTTGATTTAAAAGAAAGTATGAGGCCCTACATGGTGACACATGTCTTTGATCCCAGCATCTGGGAGACATTAGCAGGCTTTGAGTTCAAAGTCAGCCAAGTTCACATAGTGAGACAATCAAAAAAAAAAAGGCTTCATGGGTTTGAATGGCTCACTAATCTGCCATTTGATGGCTATTCAAAACATTGCATTTCTGAGCCTGGTATTCACTATAGAATACAGCATTAACTGCTGGGTGGCAGTGGTGATGGTCCTGTGTGCCTTTAATCCCAGCATTCAGGAGGCAGAGGCTGGCAGATCTCTTGTGAGTTCCAGGACAGCCAGGACTACACATAGAAACCCTATCTTGAAAAAAAAACAAAAACAAAAAAAAAACCAGCAGTAGGCAAGTGACAAGAATATTTATATTATGTAGTTCTAATCTGCTTCAGCTAAAAATTCACCTTTGACTATTAGAGTTTATGGACCCTGTAAAGAAGTGGTTCTCAACTTTTCTAATGCTTTGACCCTTTGATACAGTTTCTCAAAGTATAAAATTATTTTTGCTGCTACTTCATAACTATAATTTTGTTTCTGTTATGAATTTTAAACACCTGTATTTTCCAATGGTATCAGTGAACCCACTGAGAACCACTGCTGTAAAATCAACAAGATGCTCCACAAAACCTCAACTGTATCTGAAAACCATAAACAACTACTTTAATCTGTGTATGTGCTAGTATACACTCATACTTCAGTGTAATGTGTGGAGGTTATAGGAAAACTTTTATTCATCAGTTCTTGACTTCAATTAACAGAATTTTACTGGGAAAGCCAACAAGATTTGGACCAAACTATCTTCCAGGGTGACATTCCACTCCAAGTCAGAAGACAGGAAACTGCCTTGCAGTAAAATACCTTTAAACTCAAGTCTAGAATCCTACAAAAACATTATGGGCAATTTGTTCTGAGACCTTAATAAAGCTTTCAGAGGTTGTGCAACTGTTCACTACTTAGACTACTCCACTCCAACCTTTCTTTGCTAACTACTATCTGCTTTAGGAAGCCCAGCGTTCTCAGGTCCCTAATTCTGTTCAAGACCTTGAGACAGGGAGACCAACCTGAGTTACACCACCCCCAAATCCAAGAGCGTCACAGATGCAGCCCCTTGCCTATGGTCCACCTACAGTGGATGCTAAAGCAGAAGGGTGGTTTGAGCCCAAGAATCCCAGGCTGGCCTGGGTAAGCAGGGAAACACTATCAGAAAACCTCCAAGTGTTAGTACTAATTGAAAATACTAGCAGTTAAAATGCAGCCAACTTTTTGAGACTTTAAATACAACTTCCTAAAGAAAGCAAAATTTTCAGTCACAAAAGACTACATACTATTCCAGTTTTATACCAAGAACACAAAAATCTATATATATAAAAAAAAAAAACAAACACGATCTGTGACTGAAATAGAACAGGTCAGCATATGGAATGACTGTGTTAGTACGTACATCTTTTTGAAATGGTAAAGTGTTTTTTAAATTGAGCTGTGGTAGTCTGACACTAGAAATGCACCGAAGTCCACAGAATACCACTTTAAACACAAGTTAATGGATGTTATAAACAGTGTGGTGGCTCATAGCTGCCATCCCAGCAGCTGGAGGCAGAAACATCAACATCCTCGAATCTCCAGGCCAGCAGCAGTCTACAGGGACTCTATCTCAAAACAACAAAACCATCTTGAAGGCAGAGGCAGGAGACTCAGAGTTAGAGGGCAGCCTCCTGTACATATCCAGTTGCAAGCTACTATCAAGAGCCTCTCTCAAACAACAAAAAATTGTTTATAATGCAATCCAATAAAGAAAATGTGGGCACATTACTTAGTTCTTTCCAGTTGGATCTGAGTCCTTTGATTTTTCAAAGGCCATTAAGGATCTGCCTATTCCAGGTGGCATGGACACTACTGCAAGCTAACTTTCAGGTCCAGGATATTTTTTTTTTCCTTTTTAACCCATCTTTAATGGAAATCACCGACACAGTTCTGATTTAAGGACCCAAAACATGCTAGACCATTCTTTTGGTTCAAAACATCACAGTTCGACACTTTGTTCTAAACATGCCTAGCCATCAAATAAAAACAAATATAGCTGATTTCCGGCTTTAGTTACAAGTCGACACAAAGCACAGCTCTCGGAGAACAGCTACAGAAAACGTTGCTGAACTAGCCACCCTGGCCTAAAAGCAGTCCCGTAGTTCACCCGGACCCGGCCTATTTGAAACACACTCATTTCATCTTACAAAATTAAGGTCTTGGGAAAAGGGAAAAAAAAAATCCTTTGGCGATGTGTACGTACTCTTTCCGCAACAAATCTGGACTACAAAGGCCGGCTAAGCATCCTTTCCCTCCTCCCGGAGACTTTCCGTTTACCTAGCTCGCCCTAGAGACCAGAGAACTAGGGGACGCCCCGCCTCCGGCCCTCGGCCAGGCCGGGAGAAAAGGCCTCGGCCACCGAGCGGCGGGATTACAAAGGACCACCGTGTCCGCCGCCTTTGTCCTGCATCTGCCAGTGGAGCGCCCGCACCGCCATTGGCTTCGCCTTCCCCCGGCTCTACCTGTCTCATCCCGGGGATCTGCGTCGGCAGTCACTAGCCGCCCCGCCAGCCCAGGTAGTCCCTTCGAGGCCACGGAGGACGGAGGCCGCTGTGGGAGGCCGGGCCGCGCCGGGCGCCATTTCCACCGGGAGCGCGTCCTGCCGTCCCTGCTGGCCGAGCTCCCCCACCCTCATCCCTACCGGAGAGCTCGCCCCCCCCCGCCCCCTGCCCACACAGGACCCCCGGCCTTCCCAACACTTTCCGCGAGCCGGAGACGACAAAGTAGCCCAAGCGGGGAAAGGCGGGAAGGCGACCCGGCAGCTACCAACCCCAAGATGGCGGCAGCGGAGCGGCGGGGAGAGCGGGCGAGCGGCTGGAGAGCGCGGCGCCGGCCCTTCCTCCCGGAGGCAGACAGCCCCGGAGGCCAGCCGACGCCACGCTCCCTCACCGGCTCCCGGGCTCCTCGGCCTTCTCCCGACTCCGCTCTCGGCACCTGCCGGCCCAACCTACCCCCTTCTACTTCAGATACCCTGTGGGGCGCTAGTAACGCCAACTCCGACGGTCGCGGCGGGCGGGCAGGGACGGCCGCTTCGTCCGCGGGTGGCGCTCGCGACAACGGTCTCTCCCACCCAACCGTCCGCGGCGGCAACGACCGCGACCGCGTAGGGAGCTGCGCAGCACAGACACTGGCGAAGGGGGATGGGAGGGAAGCGAGCGAGGAGGAGGGGGCGGGGCGGAGCTCACGGGCCCGCCGCGCCGCTCTCGCGAGACTCGACTGACAGGCGGGTCTCGGCGGAGGCGGGGCGAAACGCACCTGCGCACTAGGGGTCGCCTGGCTGAGGCGGCGAATCCGCAGCTCTCTGGTTTCCCGGTCCTCCCTCAGATCCTCAGAGCTCGCTTTTGTTCCTCCCACCGGAGGACGTGCGTGGGTTCTGAGGAACCGTGGCGTCGCGGTTTGCTAAGAAGCTTTCTTGCTTCCCTGAGGATACATCCCGTAAAGTCCCGCCCTTACCCTGCGTGGAGGGAGCCACGTGGTTCTGCACCCCAAAAACCAGGGAAAGGCTTTTCTCTTTCATGTTTGCGTTACGCAACCAGAAAAAAGAATGGATGTTTCGCCTGCAAAGATACAAAGACACCCAGCAGGATTTCGGTCCTAGCCTGGGGTTTTGATCTCCTGCCTAGCCCAACCAGTCTTGACTTCTTGATTGCCTTCCTACCTGCCATGTTTAATTTTTCTCGTCATTAAGCCCAGTGACAGCTCAGTGGCTCGTGGCAGTTGTCTTCGTTTTCTATATAAAGTTTGGTGCTATATAAAGTTTGGTGATCCTGAAAATTAGCTTACAGGAGACACGTACAAAACACTTTGGGGGGTTCCATGCTGCTACTAAGGTTCCTCGTGACACATTTATGACCTTTTAAGTTTTAACACAAATGGCACATCAAAAAAAAAATCTGTGGGAAGGTAGAGAGCAATCGTGGGGTAAGAGACTTAGAACAAAGCAAGTTAACGGGCAAAGAGGATGAGCTTAGTCAGCAGTCAGGCAGGACCAGTTAAGGTTGTAAATGTGAAGGGGGTACCTTGTAGTCACCCTTCAGTCTACTATTCCAAGATTTCTTGGTGCTAAAGACACTGGGAAGCCCATTAGGAGTGGAGTGGGGCTCGTTGCGGTGGGGGACATTAGCAGTGTAGGATGGATTTTATTTACCATGAGGGGTGTGTGTGTGTGTGTGTGTGTGTGTTTAGACTGGAGCCAGGAGGCCAATTATTTAGTTTCTGGTATGGAAAATGTTCAGGTGGAAGCTTCACCCCAGACCCTGGCATCCATATATCCAAAGAATCTGGAATGTTTGGGTGGAAGCTCCATCCCAAGCCCCCTCCCCCTTCTCTCCAAACCCTGCTGCATCTCAGAGCCCGCCAAGTGATGACCTCTCCCTCAGAGATGCTCAAGACCATTCCCGCAGGGGACTTAAACTGCACCCAGAAAACAGACATGTGGTTTTCCAGTCTTCCTTTCCCGTCTCCTCTCTGGGGGACTGGGAAATCATTCGGGGGGAACGTTTTCATCCATTAGGCCTGGGCTTTTTCTAACTCGGTCTGATTTGGTCTGGTTTGGATTGCTGCGTCAGCAGAGATTCACCGGAGTGCGGAACTGTTTGGAAACTCATTTCACAGCTTCCATTCGGCTTCAGAGTTACTTAAATGTCTCTAGTGCTCTATTGGTTTAACCCAAAAATATTCCTCAGGGAAGGGGGGGGCAGTGTGGTTATAATTACAGACAGGAAAACCAAAAGATGTTACAGAATCCATAATACCCGGGGTCTATTAAGAGCTTCACTGGAACTAGGCATGGTAAGCAATTCATTGTTGTCGTTCTTGTGTAGTCAAGGGTGTCCTTGAACTCCTGACCCTTCTACCCTCCACACAACTGTGTCTCTATAGCCTTAAAATGTGGTCCTCATTTCACAGATGCTGTTCCTAATCCCAGAACAGGGAAAATAGTTGCCGAAGGGATAGAGCTGAGTGACTTAGGTCTAAACCCTTTTTTTGTGGTTACAAGGAAGTTTATTGGTTGGAGTCTTGCAGAAGCTTGGTTATCCTATTGTTACTATAAACCCCCTAAAGTCTTCCCTTCCCTTTAATAGCTGGGGATTGAAGTTAGGACCTAAAGCTTGTTCTCCCTTTAAAATGTAATTGGTTTTTAGCAAAACTCCCAGCTTCACACTTCGGATGAATTCTCCCCTGGGCCTTCCTTTCATGGGTTTAAATTACATGGCTTCTTTATTCTTCCAGCCCAGTTTGGTAGGTGGAATCCTGTAATCCTCTTTCTTCACCTAAAAGTCAATGTACTTGCAACCCAAATGATTTTGGCGTTCTTTGCACACACTTGTGTGGTTATGGGCGACAATCCTCAGATCATTCTCCTGATTCTGATGTCTGACTTTTCCACCCAATGGTGATGTTTCTTTTGGAGGTATTTTTCCCCATAATTTCTTTACGATGAGCACTCTTAACAAACACTATGAAAATTTAGAAGGCCTTTTGCCTGTTTATTACAGAAAGTTGGAACCTTCTAGTCTAAAGATATATTATGGGGTGGTAACTGTAATTTTTATTAGTGTCTTAGTTTACTGGGTAAGAAAAGAATCCTGTTCCTCTCCCACCCATCTGACCCCTGTTAGTGAGGGTTGGTGCGATTGGACCACGCTGCCCCAGTGATGCCTACACAACTGTTTCCAGACTGGTCGCTAAGGAATTGTTTCCATGGAGACGGTTACAACTCAGGGCTCCCAGCTGCTTTCTTGATCTCCCCTCTCTTTTCCCCCATTTCCTCCCCTTCCCCCATCTCTCTGCCACCCCTCTTTTTCCCTCTCCTTCCCTTCTGGGCTCTCCCCGTTAGCACAGAGACCAGAGGGACCTCCGAAGAGGATTTTGGTTACAGTTTAAAATGAGAGAAAGGATGAAGCAGGAGGAGGAAATGAAGTTCCTAGCCTCCCAGAGGAAAACAATGCAAGGCACACGTGACCACGTATTAATCTGGCAGAATAAAGAGGAGAGGAAAATTCCATGCAAGGCCTGCGTGAAAATGAAGGAGAAATGGAGAGATTGCATTCTCTTGGGGCAGACAGAGCTCATTAGCTAAAAACTAGCTTACAGTCAATGTTCGTATATCCCTAACGATACTGCAGAGGATCATTAGCGTGGGATTATCATAACCATTTTGCCTGTATGAAAACAAATCAAGAACAAAACAAGCCACAGAAATGTGATGGCGTTGTGTCTAATCGGTGTTTAATGGCCTTGGACCAGCAACCCTGAAACGGCTTTGTGAAGGCTACTGCTTCCGTTTATGTCCTCACTATCTGGTGTCTTTAGAAAAGTGACCACCTCCTTCAGATGGCCATCATTGTTTCTCGGGACAAGGCTTTTGGACAAAGATTTCATTCTTGAGATTGTTTAAATTAGTTCCCTGGAAACTGTGGAAACCAAAAAGCCTTATCTAGTATGATTATAAGTAAACAAATGGTAACCTGACGGCAGAAGTCACCTAACTCCTTCATCCTCTGTATTTGAGAGTGCCCATGCTTGTGTGTACAAGGCGGCCACTAGCATCTTTTCTTTTTAACATTGTGTGTGTGTGTGTGTGTGTGTGTGTGTGCACTGCAGGTGTGAAGGTCAGAGGACAGCTTTCAGGGGTCAGTTCTCTCCTACCATGTGGTAGGGTGTTATAGGCTTAGCAGCAAGTGCCTATACCTGCTAAGCCCTCTCAGCTGCCCCCATTCACCTCTTAATGAGACAGTCTCTCTCACTGGCCTAGGTTTGCCCAGGTAGGCTAGCTGGGCAGAGAGCCTGCAGAGTCTCCTGTCTCTGCCCCACGTCTGGTCTCTTTTACATGGGCTCAGATTCAGGTACTTATGGCTGCCATCTCAGCACTATGCCAGATATGCTTCCACCTCAACTACCTCCCCCAACTAAGTTTTGACAATAGTTCCAAGTGCTGAACATTTATTCTGCTCCAGTGATTACTGTGGGGGCCAAAGAGGGCGTGGTGGCAGAAAAGGTGAATCACCACAGTGGCTTTTAGAATATGTAAGTGGGCGACTGTATAGGAAATTCAGCATAGACCATTTCTCTCAACCTGATTTTCTAGTTTTGTATGTGTGCCGCTTTTTGAGACGTGTTACACAGCCCAGTGATGCGGGAGTGATTCTCCTCACAACAGCCCAGGCTCCTCTGGCAGTCTCCATTCTACAGGCTCAGTCCCCACGAGCTGTTTATTGGCAAGTGTGTAGCACCACCCCTAACTTCCAAGCTTCTTCTTTTCTTCAAGATTTAGGTGTATGTGTATGTGTGAAATGTCTACATGAGTCTATGTGCACTGTGCACTCACAGGTGCCCTCAGAGGCCAGAAGGCATTGGATCCCATGGAGCTGGAGTTGTGAGCCACCTAATGTGGCTTCTGGGTATCAAACTCTGGTCCTCTTCGAGGGCAGGGAGCACTCTTCACAGCTGAGCCATCTCTCTAACCCTGTTTTAAAGCTTTTAGGGGTAGACATAAATACAGGTTTCATGTATATGTACCTATGTTTTTTTTTTCATGTAAAAACAGTAATGATAGTTACACTTAGCGGTAGAGGCCTTAATTCATTTTTACCAGAACCCAGCAAAGTTAGTATATGTGTATTGGTGTGTGTGCGTGGGCGCGCGCATGCACACATGCATAACTGAGGCCTACTAAACACGTGCATAGGTGCTAGGGTTGGGAGCTCAGGTCCTCAACCTTGTGTAGCAAGCCTCCGACCCACTGAACCATCTCCCAACTCACCAAGGATTTGAAGAATAATGGGCCATAATGTACTGCTTTTCTTTTACTTTGGTAAATCAATGGAAAACTTTAACCTTCCTAATCAGGGAATGGGAGGCTTGAGTTCCAATCTAGTCCTTCACAGTTACCCATCAGCTGCCAGTTAACTTTTTCAGAACCTCAGTTTCTCAATCTCTTATTTGGGCTGTTAGGATAAAAATTAGAAACTGAAACTTTTAAGCCAGGCATGGTGGTGTAAGCCTTTAATCCCAGCACTTGGGAGGCTGAGGCAGGCGGATCTCTGAGTTCAAGGCCAGCCTGACCTATAGAGGAGGACATCCAGGGCTACATAGTGAGACCCTGTCTTGAAAAAAAAAAAAAAGAAGAGAAATTGGGGCTGGAGAGATGGCTCAGAGGT